TGTGGGGCACCCACCAAGGCCAGGGCAGAGGCCAGGCGCCACGACTCTGAGTCTTCCACCATCAGTGAGGAAGACTACTTTAACAGCCACAAGGAAGAACCAGAAGGTGGAAAGGTGACTGATGCCGCCACTCAGACAGAGCCAGGAGAGGAGGTGCCAGTGGTGCGCGTGAGTGACTCGGGAACACAAACCAGCACCGCCATAACTAGTGCTGGCACCCAAACCACAGTTGCCACCAGGGCAGCGAGCTCGCAAACCATGGTTCGGTTCATGTCGGCCACCACCCAGACTGATGTGGACGAGAATGTTGTCTTTTCTCAGGGAACCCAGTCTAAAGAAGGGTCGCCTGTATCAAAGATGTCTGTCTCGAGATCTTCCAGTTTGAAATCCTACTCCTCACTGTCTTCCCAATGCTCTGTGGCAAGCTCCATCGGCTCCCAGACTTCCATCAGAACCACTGACCTCATCCTTCCTGGACATTCCAAGTACTGGGGCACCCCCCACTTTGACTCATTTAGAAACTTGAATAAAGAGCGGCAGTTGCACTTTTCTGCCATCAGGTCCCGGCTCCACCGTATGCTGGCCACGTTGTCAAGGAGAACACTTCTTACTGAGAACTATATTGGCTTTAATTCTGGAAATTTTACCAGAGCACCAGTTAATTTACTGGCTATTCGAGATATTACACTCTCTCCCTCCTATCAGTGACTGCTCAGTGTTAGAGCCTCCTGGGTTCCTCCAGGCTTGCAATAGACATCATCAGAGCATCCTGCTCTGCAAAATGTCTCCTGTTCCCAGTTGTTTTTCTTTTGCCTGACTTTTAGTCACCCTGATTTTCTTTGAATTCTATAAACTGCACATTATTTTACATGCTTTAATTTTGTTTTTGTCATATATAAACTGGCTATTGTTTTTATGGTTTAAACACTATGGGTACAGTTTCTTTGCACATTTTTAACATTGATATCTCTTAAAGAGGTAAATTCTGGTAAGAGAGAAAATATGTTTTGCATTTTCCTAGATTTGTGTGTTTTTCTGTTTAAGAGCTTTGAATCACTAGTTTTTATGGTCAAAATCCTATTTAGAGTAAATGGTTTCTTAATTGTCTCTTCTTTAGGATATCTGTGTTCTTAG